AGATAAGCTGTTGCTGCTGCTGCTTTATTTCTGAATAAATCAAAAATTTGTGTCCTATCACAATATGTTTGGAACACAGTAAGATTTTACCAGATGCCAGAAAACTGATAAAACATCTACAAATATATTATATTCACTGCGCTCCTTTTACAACAGAGATTGATCCTTTAAGATTCAAGACTTAAGATGATTAAACGTCCCCCCAGTCAAGATAATAAACTAGGATGTTCTGGTCTAAAACTGTAACTTGATGGTTTTATACAACACAGTCTTAGTAAATCAGGTTATGAAGGTGAGTTATTTATTGTATACTGTAAAAGTGAGCTAATAAAAACTGTAGCTAAATGCATGAGGCTGTCATGTGAAACTGGGATGTGGTACACACCCAGACAGTACTGCCCACTGACAACCATTTTCAAGTCAAGAAAAGTGTTTTTTGTCAATAATAACAATAATAATAATAGTAATAATAACAATAATAATAATACTGGTCATTTGCCTAAAACAACAAATGTTTATGTGGCTCTGCAATTCTGTTTCTCAGAATTAAAGGCATAATTACTCAAGTGTGATATAGATTTAACGCCACAAAAGAGAGGAGATCAGGGCTAATGGTTGGATCAGTAAAGATTGGGACTTTGACACAAGGTACCGCTGTTGGCATCCTGTTACCTTCCAATAATCACTGCTGGTTTCTTTTTACTATGACCACAATGATTTCTTGACCTGAACCAAGTACATTTTTGTACCCACGCCCAATCAAACCGTAACTAAAATGGTTACATTAATCATTTTAACCATTATCATTTATTTCTTATGTTTTGGTGATCTGTGCCAGGTCATGAGATGATTAAATGGGTCATTTTGGAAGGCAGTGACAGTGACCTATTTTGTCACTGAGTTCGGATCACTTGTTTTTCAGTGATGTCTTGACCAATAAAATACATACGCAGTGGACTGTGGCACATGCCTGAGAAAGAGATGACGAGACAGTTGGCTACCCTCCCTTTATTTCCATCTATTGTGCGTTCTTCCGGGCAGCCACACTGCCTGTCCAAACATTATCATCATCATCTCCACTATGTGTCACACACAGAGAAATACCCTGGAAACATGACCAGAGTTCTGATGAAGAGTGGGAACCACGGTCCAGTATTAAACCACAAAAGTCATCACCGTCTATGTGTGTGTGTATGTTTGTGTGTGTGTGTGTGTGTGTGTGTGTGTGTGTGCTGAATCCTTGTTTACCCAAACGCCGCCTTGAATCATCAAGCGAAGTTGCGAGTCTACCTGTGTATGTACTGGATGAGCCTGTCATCAGTGTGTGTGTGTGTGTGTACACTTTGTGACAGATGTGGGGAGCTGTATGTTTGCTCTCAGAGAGGAGGTGAGGAATATCACGGCTCTCCTCCAAACCGCCTGCTCGCCCGCTACGCTCAGATCTAACCGTTGTTTATGTGATCTGACTCTTGGAGACAAGGTGACGTCATCAATAATATTTTGTACCATAGCTTCTGTATCATACAGGTTACAGTAAGCGTTTGCCTGTGAATGCGTAACAGTGTTAACCCACCACAGCTTCAGTCTCCTTACTCACAACTTAGGCCATATCACCAGTCTGTCAGTGCGGATTAAAAAAAAGCTTGTTTTTACTTGTTGTGGAGACCAGGCTGTAGTGAAAATTCAGGTTTCTGTGAGCTGACGTGGTTGCGGTCACAGCTGTAAGACTCAGTTTGACTTGTTCCCATATGCTCTTAATTGTCTTTCTACTGTCTGTGTCTTCTTTGTGTTTTCTCTCTGTGTACACGGAGACACAGAAAACCTTTTTTGAACTTATTAATTCAGGCTAAGATGAAACCAGTGCAGAGAATTATCTGATTGAAAGATATTTGACATATTATTTGTTGGTCAGGTGTTTTGCATTGTACCAGAATATCTGTGATATCCGTTCAAGGTGTGTTGACAACCACAGGAATTGTGTCACCTAAATTAATTAATTATGTTTTGGATTTTTCCATTTGAAAACCAGGATGTTGATATCAAGATACTCCTAAGCTGTAGACACAGTGTCACAGAGACAGTAACAAACAAAATATGAGCTAGGATTTTTAGTGATGCTGGATAATATTATTTATCTGTCTGTTCACCTGTTTAAATTGCCTCCACATTATTGGCATGAAATTCAGTACAGATATTCTCATTGTTCCAAATAAATGAAGCCTCAATGACTTTTGATCAACCACAATTTTTTATTCTAGTACCACCATTCTAGCATCAACCCATCAAATGTTCCTGTCCTTAGCTGAGCTGTGAGATTAATTTTAAATATACTGTATGCAAACACGATAAAATTAGCATGCTAACATTTAAGTAATACTGATGTTAACATGTTCACATCCGAGATAGCAAAATATGAATAAATAAACAATACTGTCAGGCAGAAGTATTGAATCTACATTGATGCATAACATTGAAACCAAATTTAAAGTGCTTGTTATGTTAAATGTAGACAATATATATTAATATAGTGAAAATTCACATATTCCTAGAGTAAACAAACAGTCCAAAATCCAAATATATTTAGTTTATAATCATGTAAAACAGAGAAGACCAGCAAATCCTTGCACTCACATGAAGGTGCAACCTGATTTTTTGCTTAAAAAATGACATGAACGCAATGATTTATCAAACATAGTTGCTGATTTATTAAGGAAATACTTTGTTAAACCTTGTCAACGTCAGAAGTGGAGGCAGAGACGCAAGAGACTAAAGGAAAGTGGGAGACCAATCAAAGATAAATCGTGCCAAGCATCTTAACAAAGGTTCATGTGTTTGATGGAAGGAGGAGGAAGGGCACCCCAGAAAAAAAAGTGTATGTCTGCAGATTCTAGATGTCAAAATAAATATATTAATTGAAGTAAAATCATTCCCATTTATGTGATTTCGGGATAATCTATTTGTGTCCACTTATATCTAATTTCCTAATTCCAAACAAAGTAATATACATTCATCAGTTTTCTTTTATTCACCTGAAAGGGTTACACAAGTGCCTTAAAAGCAATGCACCCATCTGTCTTTCGCTCCTTTCCAGGAATGTGGTTCTTTGTCTTTTCTTTGTATTTGGTGATTGATGAGTTGGCGGCTGCTCGGACCCTCAGAGAGAGAGAGAGAGATGGTGAGAGGGAGAGAAAGGTAGGGAGGGATGTGTAAGCCTATTTGTACACTGGAAATTTGTTACATAAGAGTTTAGCTCATTACCACATTGTGATGGAAAGACATGCTTATATGTCAATGCCATTCCTGTACTCTCTTTATCCTTTTGACCAGTCTGTCAGTCTGGCTCTTAATAGTGGTGTTTGGCTTTGCTTGCATTACTTTATTGATTTGATAGTTGCATTAGATTATGTGTTGTTGAATACCGAATGCATGTGACCAAAGATTAACAGTATGAATGTCTGTCTTTTGTTTGCCGAAACTGTTTGTTGGCACCTCAGTTGGCTGCCTCTGTTTACTTAAGTAGATGAAATGATCTCTTACGTGTACCCAACACAAATAATATCTCTCCTTGTGCTTGATGACATTAACCTGCTACATAAGTTTGACACCTGGATTAGGTTGTACCTGCTATTTATCACTAATGTTGTGTGTAAAGTCCTTATACAGTTAGCAAAGTTTCATTCTAGCGACTTTAGTAAATTGGTTGCTAGGGAACATCTTTTGCATGATCAATGAAAAGCAACCAACTTTGTAAACATGAAGTTACTGCAGCATCACAAGTTGTAACAAAAGAACATTTTAAAGGCCCAAACAATATTGTACATTTTAAATCACCAATCCTTTGTTTTTATCCATATTTGAACACATGAAAAATGTATTTCAAAGTTAGTAATATTCATGCAGTTTAGAATGAGAAGGAAATATCCGATTATTCTAACCTAACCGGCATTATTTAGGTATTTAGTATAACGTTTCGTGATTGTAACTAAAGTTAATCGAGATCTGGGAACACGTGATTTTACAAAAAAAATATGTCCAAGAGGGAAAGAAACATGAGCATTCAGATATTCATATAACTGTTAAACGACCCCCTTAGTCAAACATATTCATTACTTTTTAATTGTTACTTAAATTCACCATCATAAATATCCATCACAGTTTACCGACAGACTTTGTGGCTCAACTTTGACCTACTTGCTGCAGTTTTCCTGTGTAATGAGTGATTTTTACTTTCTACATTACAGGTGCACGCACTCGGTTTTACTTAAAAGTAAAGTTTTGGATGAAAAGTGATGTTAGCTAAAATGTTGGCTTATGTTTGTTGCCTTGCTGTCTTAGACTTACACATTACTTTGGTGCGTACAATGTTCGAACCAGCTTGTAATAAACCAAAAATCTCCTTTAAAACATACATTAACTCCCCACGTGTGCTATATTACGCACGTTGCTACAACGTATTTGTGTCAACAGCTGTGTCATCTCAAATAAGATATAGAAAGGTACCAGATGATTGCCATGCCTTGTGCAGCATTAGGTCACATTTCACTGTCCCTCTGCTGTCAAACTCTCGAGTATCAGTCAGGTGCCCTAAGAGGGTTAAAGAGGGTTGGAGGTTTCCATACAGAGTGACATCTTGAGGGTTTCAGAATAGCTGGCACAACCATCCAATCTACTGACAACAAGAAGGGATGTATTTCCAAAGAGTGACCATCAATAGTAGTCTCTTTGTGCCTCTCTATCTCTATCACTAAAGAATTTTTTAAAATTTGACATAAGATTCTATTGTAGTAGTAGTGAGTTCATGCTTTTAATTGAAAGTAATCCCAGTGTTGGAATGAGGCCAGAAACGACAGGCCTGGCCCCTGCTTTACAAGTCTCCAGTGTCATAAAGATGCTGCAGTGCCAAGTATTTACCCTACTCAAAACTCTCTATATGCCATTGGCACTGACTCCCGTGGGCTCCCAGCCAGGGGAGCTCCAGAGCTGAGTTTTGAGAAAAGGCCCCACTTGCTCCTGTGGAGGTGTTTGTGTTTGTTTAGACATGCTTGTATATGAAGAGGCTTTGTGCAAAGAGTTGGTTGAGTCATTACGATGTTATCAGGTCTTCAACTGTAAATTTCATTCCTCTATTTGATTTGGTTCTCTATTAGTTTTCAACCAACAAACGTAGTCAAGTGTGAATATTAATTTCAAAACAAGATTAACATCATTCTTTATTATGTCGATAGAGCTAACTTGAAATGAGATAACACGTCATCAACCTTGTTTCAAAATTGTCTCGGCCCTGAAATGGCAGGTCTGTTGCATTTTGTGGCTTGTAAACAAACCTTCCAACAGTATCTTTGCGTCCTCTCAGTGAGATTGGTTGACTAAGCTCGAGGCCAGCAAGAAACGTAAAGAGCACAAATGTCAGTTCAGGTCATGAGTTTTATGAAAACCAGATCATAGAGCAGTTGTTGATTAAATTCAAATTCCTGCCTTCGTTTATATCTGCTTTGTAAGCCAATCAATTACCATGTGAGAGAAAAACTGCTGTAATTGTTCACCACATATAGAATATATGAAAGACAACTTCCAGAAGAATCCAGAAGGTTATTTATACCGTAGATGTATGGGGATCTTAAAGGTGTTTTTTGTGATTCTTTATTATGTTTGATGTGATAGCTACAAGGCAAAAAAAAACAAACAAATGTAACTACTGCGATAAACTTTTCCTCAGTACAGTTCCATTTTTCTCACTCTCGTGAGAGCAAACCAAACTTTGGGCTGTTTGTCAATCTGTCTGCAGTCATCCACAGCTCCATCCAATTATGTCATCTTCGCTTATCCCACAATGTAAGTAATGATGTCAATGATGTCTGGAAAACAATCCCTCCACGTCTGATGTCGAGAGCAAACAGTGTGAGTCAAGAGTCTTCAAGGGGCCGAATTGCCAGATTTGCCCCAAAATAGCTGTAAAACATTCTCATTCTGTATAGTTCATTTAAGTTTTTGCTTATTTGTTTTCCTAGTTAATCTTGACCTTGTGTGTCTAGGAAATCTGCATTGACTTACAAAAGTAATCATACTTGGTTTCTATCCAACTGAATATACAGCTGCAACTCTATTGATAAATCTACTAATTTTTTCTGGATTAACTGATTAATTATTCAGTCTACAAAATCTACATTTTCTAAAGCCCAGGATGAGATCTTCGAATCACTTTTTTTATCCAACCAACAGTCCAAAACCCACAAAACATTAAATGCACCGCGTCATAAAAAGGAAAACAATAGCAAATATTTGTATTTAAGAAGCTTGACATTTTACCTTGAAAATGATTGAAAGAGTTAATCAGTTATATGAGTAATAGTAAATACTATATATGTGTTTATTTGTAGCCACCAACACGCACATCACTTCACATAAAATCAGTGTCACTTCCCTCTTTCAGTAAAAGACAATAGCTCTTCGTAGAAAGGGGTTTAAATGATTTCAGTTTGGTTTCCTTCTTCCTTTTTCACTTATAAAAACTATAAATACAAACACACTTCTTGCTAATGGGCCTTATTTCCCTCGAATTAGTTAACGTTTCAAAGGTCTGCGCCACTGTAATATTTAATTCTTAAGCAAATACACAACGAATTTCCAAAGATTTGTCAAACTGTCACTCGCCTTTATGACGACTGAAGGGCTAGCAAATGAATGCCATGTGGTTTTCTGCTATTTCAGCCCGACACGACTCCACTCCAGTTGTTGTTTTGTTATTTAGTTTTACTGGAGTCCGGTTCCACGTCGGGTTTTAGCTGCGGCCTGCCACAGAGAGAGAGAGAGCAGGTTCAGAAAGCTGGAAGCATGCACTCTGCAAGTATTTGAATTATGCCATTGACGTCAGCACAGTCATAAAGTAGACGGCTGCCCTTCCCCTGAAGTATTCCCTTGCCAGCAGGCCTGTTCAGCTCAGTGCAGATGGATTCAAACGCTCTCTGCTTCACAGACCGGCTCTTTTGTTTGGGTATTTGGGAAGCATTTGCCCCCCCCCATGCCCTTCGCCAAAAAACACCACCATCACCACCCTCTTTGTGGAAACAGGACAGAAAGCAGCCTTTTAAAAATCAATTCAACAATAAAATACCGCCTTTCAATTAAAATCCTCCTGATTATTATCAACAAAGAAACAAAACAGCCAAATCAATGTTTGGTTATCATTAAACTGTGGTAACATTGCTGATTTTTTGGCGGAGGTAGGATCCAGATATCTTTGTTTTTTTCTGAAACCGCTTTTAGGCCATGAATGCCATATGCCTATTTAGTTGTTACTTGTGGGGGAACTTGTATTTAATCTTGATTCAATCAGGAAGTTTCATTTAGCCAATATGGACAAACACAATCAATTTTGTTGTGCATGCTCACCAGTGCCAATAGTCTTTATTGGCTCAATTTGATTGGGTTACGTGGTCTGGGATACACACACATACAGACACAGACACAGACACACACATGCATGCACATACACTGACACACCATGCTTACCCATCATAAGGAGGCATGCTGTTCGAGGTCATTTGAGGTTTGTCTCAGCTGGTCTTCATATGTTACTGGAGAAACTGATCCTTCGTTGCACGCAAACCCCTTCGTCATAGAACCCCTCTGGTGCCTTTCCTCGCTCTGCTCATCAAGTCTGCTCTGTCCAGACCTGGACCAGCCTGGCTTGGCTCCGTTTGAAGGCCTGCACGCTAAATACGGTCAAGATAATGTTAATAAGACAGTCATGTTTTTCTTGACAACAGTTCAACAACAGCTGGAAAAGTGTTGAGACCAAAATGATTTCTTGCTTGGCCTCTGTAAAATGTTATTCAGATATCAAAGCCAAGAAACAGAAGAAGCATGACACATAAACCGAGCCTGTCTAGTTGCAGCCCGCTGAGGTTGCTTACTTCCTCATTATATGAAATAAAACCTGTAAAAGTGATCTGAGCCCTGAGTTTAGAAAGCTCATAGAAGCAGCTGCGTCTTCCATATTTTCAACATGTAGAATAGCCGGACTGGTCGCACCTGCAGGAAGACGTAGGTGGCCTAAAAACCCAATCTGTCTCATTTAACAACAAATCGAAATTAACAAAGGTCCACATTAACAATAAATATAATGGTATCAGTACCTAGGACGACAGATCTCTGTATCTAATAGGAACTCCTTGTTGATGTCTCTTTTAAGCAACGCATTAAAACTGTAATGTGTGTCTGAGGCCATGCTCCTGGACTCCCCCCCCACACTCTGATCTATGACCCATGTGTGACATGTGTATGACATGACAGTAAAGCACTGTCTCCTTGGAAAATATGAGGTAACATATTCCATCTAGCAACCCAGTAACTCAGACATGGTTAGGTCGAGCTTACTTTTTTTGATTAACTGAGACTTAATCTTTTAAAGGAACATCAGGTCACCATATTGCTAGAATCAGATCCAATTTATTCACCCTAAATATCCCTTACCTCTCTCTCTCTCTCCTCCAGCTGGCCCATTCCGATTATGCAAAAGTTTTCCTCATGATTCTAGAAATCCGTCCTCACCCCTGACATCAGTTCGACCCCTGCGCCAACAGTGAACCTTTGTAATCGTGGAAACCTTTGAAACCTAAAGAAAGAAAAAGCAGCATCAACAGCGACAGAAGTTTGGCTAACTGGGTTCATGGCTCCTCTGATCCATGCTAATCAACCCGAGGGGCAAATGCCAGTCAGTGTGACAATGAGGCCCATTCAGCCCAGTCAGTGCTGTTGCTCCCAATGTGGGAGTTCACCTCAGGTAATACAGACAAAGCCTGGTCTGTTGCTGTGCATTTGTGTGTATGTGTTTGTGTGTGTACTCATGTTTGAGGGTATAGAAGCTGAGAGTAAGAGAGCGAGACACTGCGGTGAGAAGGAGCGAAAGGGGGGAAAAAGAACATGGGAGAGTTTATGAGAGCAGGAGTCAAAACAGACGGAGAGAGTGCAGCTCAAGGACAGGACAGTGTTTTACTCACAGGTCCTCTGAGCTGAAGAGCTACTGATAAGACAGACAAACAGCCTCATTGACGTCCATCTTTTTTATCAGAGAGAGTGAGAGAGACTTTTACACCAGGGCATGACAACAAGTCAGATAGCAGAGGATACTGCATGTCATACTGAGGCAGACGCCTCGTGCCTCAGTGAACCTTCAGGCCCTGTGATGTCAGACTGTCTCTGAGCTCAGTTTAGTCCTCACGTTATGTTCCTCACGTCCACCTCCCACATGCATAAATCACTCTGTATCTGCCTGTGTGTGAATAAAGTGCACGTGTGTGAATCGTGTGTATGTGTGCAAGGAGAATCCACAGTTTGATGTCCAAAGGCATGACTTGGTGAAGAAACATGGGATATGTTTTTTCTCCAGTTAAACCATTTCAAACCAGATAAGCAGATCAAAGTTGTAGCTCTGTGTGACTCAGCTGGGACTGAAGCCCAGTCTGGACTGGATTAATATTTACCATGCTCTTCAGTAACTAAATGGATCTTAATAGAAGTCATAGAAGTCAGTCTGTGTAACTGGAAATACATCTTTGTGATCAAAGTTACCAATTTGCAGCTATTTTGATACTTAGTTAATTGTTTAAGTCACATTTTTCAAGCAATGCCAACAATTCATTTGTTCTACATTTTCAATTGTTAGGATTTTCTGCTTTTTGTGTTTTTATGTCATTGTAGACGGAATAGCTTTGTGTTTTAGACTGCTGGTTGGACAAAACTAAACATGTAGGAAACTCTGACAGGCATTTTCAATTATTTAATTGAAAAAAAAGAATTAACTGATAATGAAAGCAAACATTTGTTACAGCCCTACTTTGTGCATAAAAACAATCGTAAATGTCTGTCTTGGTGAGACTTAAATTAATAGAAGACCAACACGTACGCCAAAACACAACAGCTATTTGGGACTGAAATGGATACTGGATCACAAGATTGAAATCACAGATGAGCATATGAACACTGTGTTAAATCACCCAGCCTTCTCAAGAAGAATAAACCCTGTTCAAATTAGGCTTAAGAGTCACATCCAAAATAAGATTCTCACAAACTGAGAACTTTCAGTTTTCTCACCCCACCTGGATTTAAACAGTTTGATTAACACGGTAGAGCCTCTTTCGCTGTTATTCCAAGGATTCTGAGAAGGATCTGGTATCATTGTGCACCCTTTGGGAGTTGTTGCGTGCTACTCAGATTAATAGCTTTCCGTGTTGCTTTCCCACTGAGTTCTATAGTGAAACAGACAGGAATGTGTACGTGTATATGTTATGGGGAGGACAGGGAACACTGTGTCCAAGGAGAGTAGGTGGAAAAGAGTAAGCAATAACCATAAGGGGTCTAACAGGTATGTGACCCAGTCAAAGCACTTTTTGTTAAAGTTTTGTGGTCAGAACTGACTTTATTACAGCATAAATACAAGCAGAACAACCACAAGTCTAGACTACAAGTCACATAAATGTTATTCTACCAAGTCAAATTACAGTGTTCTACATGCACCCCTGTTGCTTCACCAGAGTTTAATAAAAGCAAGACCGCAAGCTTACCTGAAAACAGACCAGCAAACGTTTCCTGCTGAATGCCCGTTAAAAAAAATATTGTCATCATAATTTCAATTAATAAATAATTTCTGATAATTTTTTATAATTTATTTAACATACATTTTGCATTTTACCTGTATACAAACAGAAATGTTAATTTTTTTTTCTGTATAGAACAATATAATCTTTATAGGTGCTGGTACGTGTGTTCTTTTGATGAGGGCCAGGCTAGCTCATTATCCTAAGCTAATCTACTAGCTCCATTCTTAATGCACCAACACGAGAGCGGTATCGACCTTCTCATTTAACTTGCGGCAAGAAAGCGTATTACCAAAATGTCAAACACATTTCTTTAACAAGATCAAGTCCCACTGAGGCTGGAGATCTCCAAGGGAGGAAGCATTACAAAAAAGTTCTGGACAAAACAATAAAAAAACGTAGTTAAATAGACAAAACAATATTAAAACACATCGGAATACTGAAAAAGTAAAAAAAAAAAAAAAAAAGAGCTGAGCATAGAAAAGAAATCCAAAATGAAGTTGTTTTTCTGTAGAATTTACACTCAAATCATCATCATCAGCTTCGTCAGTTTAATTTCCATCTGCAGACTCTTCCATGTGGCCACAGCAGAAAATATGAAAGCTCTGTATTTGTATTAGGGACAGACAACAATGGTACAAATTTGTACACAACAGACACGAATATGAAAACACAAACTTGAAGCAGTTCTGCTTTAGCCTAATCACCACATTTCAACACATCAGAATTCTTCATCTGTGAGTCAGTGTCCAACATGTGTCTACAGCGCTGCTTCTGGAGGGTCACCACATGAAAGAGGCACCAGTATGTTTACCGATACTGCGTCCCAGAGCGGTAAATTTACCCATAATGCCTCCATTGAATGTTTGCTGCAAGTTCATAAGTGGTGAAACATGTGCAAATCCTCCCATTGCAACAGAATATCCAGTCATTATTTCTCTCCCTTCTGTTTATAATTCACAACCACAGGACAACAAAAACCCTGATACCATCTATTAAAACATTATTTCTATTCTGCCCCCCCCCGTAAATCAGATAAATGAGCTCTAACGAAACACAGACTCATGATGTCATTTTGTCACTTCTCAGAACCCGCCTCGCAGAAACGTTTCAGGGTCACATAATATGCTCCTTAAAAACCACAAACTCCAGCACCACCCTTCTTCCCTGTTTTCACAATACATGCTAATAATGAATTTTTCATAATTCGGCCCATAAAAAAGTGGAGGAGCAAGCGCTACATCAGAGCACTGCCTCACCCGTACCATCTCTTGTCCTTGATAGGAAGTGTTGAGTAACTGAGCGGAGGATTTCAGATCATCTCTCTCTGTTTCTTGTAAAGCAAGAGTTGCCACTAAAGAATGTCACGGCCCTTTTCATTCAGTAACATGCTGCCAATCGGCCTACGTCAGAGTTTGGTTTTTCTTCATGTGTGTGGTCTGTTTACGCCGGTTCACTGGAAATGTGGCACATCACCCGTCAAAACCGAGATGTTTACATGATGAATGCTTGGGCAATAAATGAAAAGCAAGAATAAGTATGAGAGGAAAAAGAGAGATTGTCCCCTGCTGAACTCATATCCTGCATGTTTATGAGTGTGAGTGTGTCAGTGCCTGTAGGTAATCTTCGCTGATGATTTAACCCTCACAATGCCATATAGATTTTGGCTGCAGCCCTCCCTGCTCTGCTGCATCAAGCATCACATCACTGGCAGGAAACTGACTGTATCCCCACGAGAGGATGGCAGATGCAGTTGTCTCACACACACACAAACAAGCTTCAACTCCTCTGGTCTGATGTCCCCTGGGCAGAGTTGTCCTTAAATAATCTGATAGCAACAAATGTCATGTGTGGTATATGTAGTAGGCTTGCTTTGGGGTGTGTGTGTGTGTGTGTGTGTGTGTGTGTGTGTGTGTGTGTGTGTGTGTGTGTGTGTGTGTGTGTGTGTGTGTGCACCTGCTGCTTTAAAGGTGAAGTCTCCCCATAATGTCCTGTGTCAATAAGTCATCATATTTTTCAGAGAGGAAGAGGAGGAGCGATTGACAGGGAAAGAGAGTAACAGACATTTAGACACACCATTAAAATCAGGGAATATTGGGGACAAATATATTTAAAAAAAAAAAAAAAAAATCCCTAAAATAAAATAAATATTAGTGGATTTTAAAATATATAATAACATACCATACCATAGCAAATATACCATTCTTATTGGGGATTAACAGCTAAAATACATCACTATAACAAAAGAATATGTGCTATCTGAGCTTAATCTGATAGACAATCAAAGGAAAAACAATCAATGAACAGACACAATAAGCAGCTCATTCAACTCATTGTTGAGATCATATTTTGTGTTCTTGTTGTGGATTTCATTACACATTCATATTGCAGAGACATCCTGTGTTTTTTGTCCAGCTTTTTGATGTTATTACTGAAGGTTTTCAGGGGGCAAGTTTGCTTAGACACTGTGATTGTGTTATCTTTTGTTGGTACTGTAAATGTTAACATGCCAGCGAGGCTTATTTGACTGAGCTGAGCTGAATATTGAATCTAGAGAGTGAGCTGACCTCATATCCCCTCCTAACCCTCCCTGCCTCTGCCGCCTGTTGGCCCTGCCTCCCTCAGCTGGAAAGTACATGTTTGTATGTAAGCGTAGTAAGGAGACATTTCAGTTTATGTATATGTACAGTGCACTGTGGTGTGTGTGTGTGTGTGTGTGTGTGTGTGTGTGTGACTGGACTGTACATGCGTATCTGTGTGTTTTCCTGTCTGCCCCTGTGGGACACACACTGTAGGTCTGAGCGCTGATCAGAAAGGTCCTTGTGTCGGGGTGGAGGCGGTGGAAATCCCCTCTTACATCGTGGTGTTTGGTGTGTGTGTGTGTGTGTGTGTGTGTGTGTGTCAGCATTTGGCTTTTGAATGTTGTTTCCATTGGTCCATCTGAGGCCATGAGAGTACACTGTGCAGACTGCTGTAACTAAAGTAATTGCTGGTATGCAGCTAACATGCATGCTTGTGCTCTTAAAACAAGTGAGAATACAAAAGCATGTATTCGTTGGTAATAACCATAACCTTTTTCTTTTATAGGCAAAGAAATTGTATGATTTTATGTGCTGCAATTGTTGCAAGCCATAAAGCCGAAAGTTATAAAGTTATAAGTTGTAAAAAATAATGATATATGAATAAAATATAATTATATAGATTAGGTTAGGCTACATTTCAAGCACAAAAAAGAGAGATCTAGCACCACACTATAATTTGGCTCAGAAGGTTTTTAATCACCCTTTACAGGCATTTTTATTATTTCAATAATCTTGTCTATATCAAGTTTTACCCTTTAACCCTCTGGTGTTTACCAATAGGATCAGATTGACCACATTGTTCTGTTACCTACTGCTTCATGAAATGATAAAGACAAATCCACTTCAGTTTCCTATTCTGCCTTACAGTAAGATTCTGTGTCAAATTACAACTGCAAATACTTCTAAACAAAGCTAAAACTTAGGTTTTTTTACAATGTCCCTTTCTACATACTGTCATAGGATTGTACCATCTTTCAATTAGCATTAAGGTTATCTCAGTGGAAAACGTTTATGCATTGATTTCAATTGACCGATCCCTTTTGTAGCGGCAGAGTGAAACAGGGACTGGGTAGTGTTCACATTAGATTCTATGGCTGCTGAAGTCATAATAGTATTGAGAAATAACAGAGTCAATGCCCAATGCTTCAGTGATTAGCACATAAATCTTTATTTTTTATTTGACTGCCGGTAAACTGGGTCCAGTGCTGGGGTAAATACTGGTATTGGCTTGGGTTGCCAGTAGGGCAGGGATCAGAGTAAAACTGTTATACAAGCATCATAGTTTAGTGGATCTGGCACCTACCTAGAGAATGGATTTAGTATGTGGGGACCCACAAGAAGTTGGCCTCGTGACCAGTTTTAGGTCCTGACTCCCTAAACCAGATTTTAGGCTTTGTACCCATTTTTGTGTGTTTTGAAAATCAAAGTCATGAATGTGGTTAAGAGCTCAAATAATCAATCTAGCAATTCAGTTTTACCCCATAAACACACATCAGTATGTGAGCTGCGCTGGACTGTAACCCAATCCAGTTTTAACTAAATTTATGAGGTGTCCTGTTGAATTTTATTGCAAACAAACAAAATGTATATTTGCATCCAGTGTAACTCATCAAAACACAGTATGTGATGCATTTCCTCCCATGCAGAACAGATCTTTCTCAAAACATTTAAATTATGCATCCATGTTTATTAGCTTGCAGTCTTTTTCTCCCCTGCCTTTGCTGGCACGTTGCTGCATTTCTTGTCGTGTTACAGACACCTGTAGATAAGTGGAATAGTGTGAAAGCATCAGCAGGATTGTGTATATCACGTCACCTGCGTGCATGCACGTGAAACAAACGAGGGACTGCTCCATAGCTGTACTAGAGGTCAAAAACTCCACAGAGGAACGTTTAACTGTTGCAAAAAGGAATCATAACACTGTGCTCTAATTGCTAGATGTACGGTTTGTACCATTGACCCAGAATCTAAAAGTGAACTTATTTAAACTGCTGAATGTATTATCTGGCTCTTATGAAGCATAATCTTTAGTTTCCGTTCTACATAAGCAGTGCGGAATTTTAAGCTTTGTGATTTGGAATTTTCTTACCTCTGGAGTCGTCGTCGACTTCTCGTACGTTTTAATGTACACAGTCTTTTACCTTTCACTTCTTTATCAAAGAACCAGACATGTATTAAACTGATTATTAAACCATGCAAGATTCATGCTGCTCTAAGCCTTAGATGAACAGGACTTTAAATTCTTCATAAGTATAGAATAACAAAAACAACCTCCACATAGAAGTTACAGACCATTAAAAGTGTTTTTAGAATTACTTTTTACTATTACTGCACAAGCTAAAGATATGGTTGTTTAATGAGTTATTTTAAAGTCCATAAACATATCCATACTGTAGCTAAGACCACTTATATGATACTTTCTGTCCAAGTACATTTTAAAAGTTCAATGAGAACACTGGTACAGGGAAAAGGAACTTTCTACGCTCTTCAAAAACTCAAACCACCTCAGAAGTGTTAAGAATAAGGGGAAGAAACATCTCAAATGAGTGTAAGCCGTTTTCACATCAGACGCTTGTGGAGTTAAATTAAACACACGCACACACTCCCTCTCTTTCTCTCACTCCCCTCATCAGAGTGAGGGAAGGCTGTGGGCAGAGCGCCAGGTGCCTCTCATGTTTGGGAGAGCAAACAGGCTCATGTCTTTGATGGCAAGGAGATCAGAGCAGGGGACACATTCTACGTGGCCACGCTAAGGTCGCCGCAGTGCACACCCTGCTGCCATGTTGTGCTCTGCAGCTAGGAGACCCAGAGTATACACAATGCAGGGGCAGCAGACGAGAGAGTGTGTGTATGTGTGTGTGTGTGTGTGTGTGTGTGTCTGTCAGTCCAGCCCCACCAGCCACCTCATCACACACTCCCTCTGCTTTCCAACAAGGCTTCACTCCAACCTTGACGTGCAGTTGTAGTTGTCTGAAAAACACAGTTAAACCACAGGAACAGGGTTGGAATATTGACTCTGCAGCAGTGGTTACAACACACTCTGTCTCTTGTTTTTCTTTACATCTGGTTGTATGCGCTCTGAAGTATGAATTTAATTTAAGTTTGAAAGGAAAAGTGTGCCACTAAATTCATAATCATGCTTACTATAACAAAAGAGGTTTAGACTAGTAGAAAATAAACTGCGTAATAAAACTCATCCCATCTTCCTCACAGATACCCCAGACTTTGTAGACGTTTGTTTTCTCTGCTCTTTTATCAGAATTGTTTTTAATTTACATTTACCACTTTGACATATGTTTTTTCTATTTTTATCTTTCAGTTTTCTTTCTTCTTTACCCAGACTTTAAAAAAATAAAAATAATCCTGGCTAAATCCTGCATTTTTTGCAAGAACAAACAACACACAAATTAAAATAAATGCTTTAAACTAATACTTAATAGAAAGCAGAAATTAATAATGGATCAATCTATTAGCTGATTGATAGAAAATAAATCAGTTACTACACTTACAATATATATGATTTTAAAGAAAGAGTTACCAAATGTTTTACAAGTTAAATTGTTTTAATGCAACAGAAGGCAGAATCACACAATAACACACACACACACACACACACACACACACGTTACAGAAATATTTTTCAGTTCTGGTAAAATTAATACCAAAGCCAGTTCCTGTAATTTTGCCTCCAGGCCACATTTGCGTCTGTACTGTGGTTGTAAACTACATACACACTGCAAAACAATAACCACATGTGTCTTCGCAGCAGCTGACAAATGTCCTCCCCTCTGTGTGGATGTTAAAAAATCCTGCGTCAGTGGCATGTGGGTCACCAGAGAGTGATAGGCCCATGCCAAATCTGTGTCTCAACCCCTGGTTTAAGAAAACACTATCACTATTCAAGGACTCAAATTTATTTTGTTGTCACCTGCCCATAGTCGATAATCAGTTGTTGTTGCACTGTTCGCTGCTTGTTTGTGTGTGTGTGTGTGTGTGTATGTGTGTGTGTGCATGTCCGAGAAAGCAGAAAATGAATTCCTAGTTGACAAAAGTTTGGTTTGGCTTCATGAAAGCCTGTGTGTGTGTTTATGTGTAGATTTAGAGGTGTCTGTTTGCTTCCTGTGAGGTGGGGTAAAGTGTGTGTGTGTGTGGCGCTGGTGAGGGAGTGCGAGGGGTGTCTGGTTTCCTGCTTTTGGAGGTTGACTTTATGTAAATGAGCCGAGGGCCTCAGATCTTGGGGGGGGGGAATCTCACACACACATACGCACAGAGAGAAAAAGTTGAGTGTCTGACAGAGCGAGCTCAGGTCCGTTCTCCTCTCTGCTGACAGCTGCGAGTCCCAGCAGCTCACCACAGCTAAACCTCCTCATGATGAAGGAGCGCTGCAGCCGGGTGCCACCTCTAACCATTCCCCCTCCTCCTCAGCAGCATCAGCCGGCGCCCCGAGCAGGACCCGTGGGTGGCTGTTGCTTGGGAGTGGCTGGGCAGCGCTCGGGCACCATGTGCACCGTCTGTTCTGACTGTGTTTCTCTGTGTGCCGGCTGCTTGTTGACAGATGAGGCGTACCAGAAGCTGGCCATGGAGACGATGGAGGAGTTGGACTGGTGTCTGGACCAGCTGGAGACCATCCAGACCTACCGCTCTGTCAGCGACATGGCCTCCAACAAGGTAGGAGAGGCTGCATCTATTTTTTTTTTTTTTTCATCCCCTTCCATCATTAGTATAGGAAATGTTCAGGGACACAGGTTGCCTTTAATTTACTTCAATCAGAGAAACTTTTTTGAACAATGTTCCATTTATTGCAAATGTTTAAAGAGAAAGGGCTCTTTGAGTAAACTCTCAAAGCTGAGCTGACTCTGCAAGGAGAACTAATCCTTCAGCATAATAAATACATGAAAGACAGTTTACAGAAGCCAGACATGCTGTACTGTAAACATACACGAACTTAGCAAAGTCAAAGTGTTACATGCACAGTTAGGGGGCTGCAGCAGTAAGCAGTGTTGGCATGAGCGCTGTCAGGTTACAAAGGCCATCTGCACACATGTGTGACTAAGATTTCTCATCAGCTGATTTCCACCTAAACCATCATAGAGCTCATTAATTTCTGATTAATTTGTTTTTTCCCTGTCTGACTGTACTCTCTCTGATTTAACAAAAGGAAGTGCTGTTTTTTTGTGTCTTGGCCTTCTTGTCATCTCTCTCGTTTCTTCTGCGTCACTAATTGTATGTGATGTGCACCAAGGTTCAGTTCCTGGTTTTTTATTTATGTAACCCCTCAACCATATTACTCACTGACAGAGCATGAAACACAGCTATACCTGGCTGTGTCTTTACGGTTTCACTTCTTATCGCTTGATTGAGTCTAATGTATTTACTGTAACTTATCTCGACATGTATCTAAGCATTACAGGGTTTGGTTTATGTTTAAAGTTAGTTACTAATTCAGTCTCTTTTAAATGACTTTAAATCATTTGTGTTGTTGTCGTCGTTATTAATACCTCTAGAAGCAGCAGCAGGAGGGTTGCAGTGCCCTTTAGGGCCCAGTCAAACCTATTCTGCATTCTAAGTTTGTCCTCTGATTACTAAAAATACACCCATTTCTTTCCAGTCTCATCCACTATGATGCAGACTATATTAGTTTAACAGCTATCTTAAATTTTTCAAACTTTTTCGGAAAAATTTCCAAAAGTGGTTTGGTTTGGTGGTCTCCGGTTTTTGCTGCCCTCTTTCCACCCTTCCTGTCGAACAACTTATCACGGTCCTCTGGTTATTCCATTTGGTTCTGTGTCATTGATTGTGTGTGATGTGCAGCAAGGTTTAGTTCCTGCTTTTTTATATAAGAACCAGGAACTTGACAGAGCATGACACAGAGTGGTACCAAGAAATATTTAGCCACATCTTGTAGGTCCCTTGATTTAGTCGTTGCGTTCTCTTAGTACTGATTCCTGAAGTTTATATGAGTTGCATTCGTACTTTAACCTTGAGTAGCTTCATTTGTTTCATGTGAATGAATGGCAATGTAACTTTTTTACATTGGAATGGAAGGCCATGAGGTGACTATAGTTTAAGTAGCAGGTCTTATAATAAAATCATGATCTACACATCAGTCTTTTATTGGTAAATCAATTTTACACTGAGGTGTATACTGCGAGCTGACCATGGAAGTTGATTTTTAATTATTGACCAACAATTGCCAGCCTGCTTGTCCCTCTTGGTCCATAGACTTCACACTCAAATAACGTCATGCACAAAATAGTGTTTACTTGTTGAAAGTCTTTCATTTAATTCATTTCATTTCTTTCTTTTAACTGACCTTGTTTGCAAGTTGGGTTTTTTTTGTCAGCAGCTTTAGACTTTTTTATTACGTCGGTCCCACTGGCCACCTGTGGTATTGCAGTGAAATAAATCCCCCCCCAAAAAAATCTATTTCCTTATCAATTAAACTGCTGACAGGACACCTTCAACTGGGCATAGAAAAAGGACTAGAAAAGCATGTTATCCCAATGGGCTGAGTGGGAACATGTGGGTGAGCCTGACACAGAAGCAAACCTAGTTCTTATTATACAACCATGGCTATGAAGGTAACATTACACTATAACAGTAATGAGTCATAAACATGAGTGAGAATGCTTGGCCGTCTTTGTTGTATCTAACACAACTGAAATTACACCTTAATCTGCTGTAGGGGTGACATCCTAGGAAGTTACAGATATCCGCTTTTTTGCTGACTCAAAACCTTCAATACTAAACACTTGTTTGTATCCTTTGGTAGTGGTGATAAAATCCCAGAAGGCTGATGCATAGGCTGAGTAGCAGCTGTGTGTAATAGAGCCTGAAAAAAGTTAGTCAAGTGAGCCAAGAGGATAAGCTTGTTATTTCTCATAAAACTGGACAACAGGATGCGAGGGATCCCGCAGTGGGTCAAACACAATAAACTAGAGAGGAAGAGAGAGAACATTTGTGTGTGAGTGTGAGGGATCCAGGCAGACCCCTGGGCAGAGTGACTCTCTCTTCCTGTCTCCTTCCTGATCCCCTCGCTCTCTCTCCAGACGACAATAGACATCCCATCATGCCCGTTTGGGTGGTTAATGGCTGTGTTTATTTATCCCATTGCTATCGTCATCTGGACACACATCCAACACTGACAGTCAGCTGGACTGGTTTCAGTTCAAGAGACATGAGGATGATTGAATCACAGGATAAATATTATTACCCATGTAAACAGACAGACATGAATATAAGGTTACAGGATGGCAGGACGGACACAGGAGATTTAAAGACAAGAATGTCCACCATACAGCAGAATTAAACTAACAGAATAATCAACCCTCTTTCGAATCATATCTTATCGAATTTTATCTCACTCACTGTAATTTTAGCACTTTTGCAATCGCAGAGAAATTGTCAGGACTGAGCCAAAAACTTTATCTGCAGGAGCCTCCCCAATTTGAGAAATTCCAAAATATCCCAACTGTGGAATAATGAAAGGACAGCTCTATCCTGCTTTTTCCAGGAAAGACTGCAAACTTCAGCTGCCAAGATAATAAGACTGTAACGCAATTCAACAAAACGAGAAGTTGAAAGTAGTTTGACTCATGGACGGATACAGCACGTTTCAATGTCTCATATTTGTCTGTGGTGAATGATTAGCACAGGAGGTCGTATGTTTCTCTCTTAGTTAGCAGAATATCGACATTTTTGTGTAGAGAACTTAGGGAGTGCTGGACATGACTGATCTACAGTGGAGCATATCAGGTGGCACAATGTGATTTTTATGTATTATGACCCTCTCTCATTGATGTGACTTTGGCAGCTGGGTGAACGTGTCCTGACACGCAACCACCTGTGGATTATATACAGATAAGGAGTCCTCCGTTTACACATGTGTATCTCGTATGCATGAACTGTTTGTGTCTACGTGTGTTTGAGCGCGTTATGTGTGTCTATATTAACAATAGGTTAATCCCACTGATATCTAGGCTATCTTACATGTAGCCTTGTTTCCACAGTAAACTAAAACATTACACAACCACTGGCTCTTTGTCATGTGGGTCATTACACTCGACCTGGTTTTATTAACAAGAACATGCCAATCAGCTAATGTGACCCCTGACTACCTGTTGTATTTAGGATGGAAAAACTGTTATTCAAGCTGTTGCAGAGTATGAAACATGAGTGCGAGGTGGGTGAAATGCGAGAAGCTGCTGCTGTACCTCCAAGGTGAAGTGCAGGGGGCTGCGGCTGCTGAGGACTCGCAGTACGTGACTGTCCTTGCTGTTATGTACGGCTGACGTACAGTAGATGGGTCAAGGCCTGTTGTGAGATGGAATAATGTTCTGTGTGAATGCTCTGGGCTGTTATTTGAAACTAGGGCTGAAATAATACGTTTAGTAATGAATTGGTCAATTACCAGAAACATTTTGGAAAGGTATCCATTGTTTAAAGGTGCAGTCAGCTAATATCTCCTCGTAGTCTGCTAGCTGTCTGCGCTGAAAAAAAAGGTCTTTATACACAGTTCCAGTCCTGTAAAATATGACAATTCGCTACTTTTCTGTTTTATATATTTAGGTTTTTGACTGTTGATTTAACAAAACAAGACATTTAGGGCTGCAACAAGTACTCATCATCGTTTTATCTAACCCCCAAATTATCACTGTCACTTTTGACAGTGTGGAAGCATCAACTGTTTGGCATTTCAACGATCAACGATTTATAAAAATAGCTGATAATTAATTTTATCTCGATCGATGAATTATTGTAGCTCTAAAGATGTTCTCTTGGGCCATGATTAACTGTGATGGGCCCACCATTGTGAATATTTTATAGCCAAAACAATTAATCGATCAATCGAGAAACTAATAAGCAGATTAAATCAATGATGAAAATAATTGTTAGATGCAACTCTGTTTGGAAACAGGTTGCTGCTGAGCCATTGCTTGTGTGAGAAGAACAGAGTTGGCCAATATCAGACTGTTGGTTAAGTTGTGTATTGTGTAATGCTTTGTGCAGTGACCAGTGCTAGGAGTCTTTGAGGGAAATACAGTTTTTACTCTATTTTACTCATTTATGAGGTAGTAGTGAAGAAGTCCCATTAACAATTTGATTTTGGACTGCTGTATAATGTACGCCCATTCACCAAAAAGCAGCTTAGTGATTTTTGTTCCAGCGATATTCTTCTATCACAGCACTCTGGTGTAAATCTTCTTAACTCAAGGACTTCTCCTCTGCCTTTTGCCATTGAACTTTCAACTGAATTGATATTAACTAGGCTACTAGGGAAAAAAAAAAACCTACACTTAGCTATCTTTCGTTGAAATTGAACTTCAAGGAAATCTACTGTGTTCATCAAAACAGGAAGTGTTCAGAATGATCAGCGCAATATTGACAGTGTAAACCTCAGAGCTGTGAGTGCCGGCTGAGTAGTGAACAGCAAGCAAGAAGAGCAAGAAGCTAGAGGCGGGACTACCCCCATGAAGGAGTGTGTATGAGGCAGAGGTCTCTCTCTCCCTCTCACATGCACATACACACACACACACTGTGATTGCTCCACATACACAGGGTGTGAGGTAAAGCCTAGTCAGACCTCGCAGCCCAAAGTGAGTCACTAGAGCTGTGGCGTTTCCCAGCGTCAGAGAGCCAAGGCTTGGTCCTTTTACTCATGCTGTAGT